GAAAATCCTGAAAACTTGTTAGCAGGTAGGGTCTTTTGGTACATGGGACTTACTCTCTTATATCAAAAAACTTTTACTTACATGCTAGCAAATGTTTTTAATGGAGCCAGGTGCTGAGATACTGTAATTCCAGCACACATGCACTGAAGTTACAACATCTGTACCTGCCCAGTGGGTGAAGCAAGGAAATTGTGGACCTTGCATAAGAGGAGAAGGACATGGACCCCTCGGGTACCAAGTGAATGCAGGGAGCTTGGACCTAACATCGTTGGAGGAGAGCACACCTAGAGGTTTATGTGTCATATTAATTTTGCAAGTATGCTGAGCAAATGCTGGCCACCTCACTTCCCTTTATTTCTGTTCTAATAAAAACAATTTGATGGCAGAAAGGCTTTTTATTGCAGTAGAGACATACAATTTTTCATCTGCAATTAAAACTACTTGCCTGTCTGCTAGCATACTAGAAGGAACAATATCGGCATTCTTAAGGACAGGATGAAGTAACTCCTGTGCAGGAGTAAGGTCATCCCAGGCTGAACCCAGAAAAAGACAAGAGAGCTTACAGAGATCACATTGCTGAAACAAGGGTGAGTTTAATTTTGCTCTAAGTTCCCCCCATGCATTCACAGTCCCTACAATGATAATGTGCAATTATTAATAAATGATGTTGCTATACACCAAAAAAAGAATCAATCTGTTATATCTATTAGTAGTTAGTCACATTTCTCTGTAGTGTTCAAGATTCTTCATAGCTTACCTAGCCACTTGTTCAGTTGCTAGAATATCAGGAAGGTACTCTACATTTATATTCATGCCAGTCACCATGGAGTGTGTAAATGTTGATTGTCCAAGACAGGGCTTGACAAATATCAGGAGCCAAGTCGCCATGGCTCTTGGGATTTTGTCAACCCATTCCTAGTTGCCTAATGATGGCTATAGCGTGGTCGGCTAATTCTGGGAGGACGTCTGTTAACATCATCCCAAAACCTTGCCCTCCCATGCACCTCAGGGGCTCGCATTGGGCGAACTCTGTGATCACTGTGTCCTTTGTACACAACTGCTCACAGATCGAAGTAATGGGCCAAACACAGCAGCCTTTTACCATGTGATCAGCTGTGTTCAATTACAGCTAACCACATTGTAAACAGACTTTGCCGTTTATCAGCAGTCCTTTCCTTACTCGCTATCACAGTGTGAGGACAGAAGAGCCAGTAACCAGCAATTCTGACACGCACATTTGCACTGATCATCAGTGCCATTATTAACAGTGCCTATCGGTGCATATTGGTGAAGAAGAAGAATTACTTATTTGCAAAAATTTTTTAACATATTAAGAAAAAAAAAATGTTTTCACAATTTTTAGTCTCTTTTTGTTTGTTTTTGCAAAAATAAAAACCCCAATAGTGATTATGATAAAAATTTCATTAGGGTAAAGTGATGCAAGACCTCACATTTGTTCAAAGTGTGACAGCGTTGAAAGATGAAAATTGGCCTAGGCAGAAAGGGGGTGAAAGTGCCCAGTGGGCAAGTTTTAACATGGTAAAAAAAAAAATTAGCTCTGCTGCTTACCTGCAACAGTTTTTTTCAGTTTTTTTTTTCTTCACATACAGGCATCTCCATGTATTCTCCGTGTGTCACGCATCTGTAAAGATACACATTGGGGCTACATAAGAGGAAGGCTTTTGTTGTTAGTTAAAAAAAACTGGCTCCTAACTTTTTTAGCTGGCTCCTAGATTCAAAGCAAGTTTAAGTTTTGGTCCAAGAGCAGGATGAGAGGTGTGAAAGTTGTAGTGCTATCCTGTCCTGGTTAAAATGCCTAATATAATATACACATAAAATACTGTTATAACATCTCTACCTTGGCGATTTGATGACAGATCACACCTTTTAGCCATGTAAATCGAGGAGCTAAAGCCAACCATAGACAGTTCGAATCTCGGCTGGTTCAACAGGGACTGGCCAAGATTGGAACCATGCATGGGCAGGCTTAATGTACCTAAGCTGATCTATTGATCAACCTGGGTACAACCAGTCTGTCAGATTTTATATGCGATTATTGCTAGTGGCTATTAAAACCGCTAGCTGTAATCGCTGTGTTCTTCGGGTGGGGATGGCTCCCACTGTGACTGTGATGTGGGAATTGAGCGATTTTGGTTTTTTTTTTTTTTCTTTCATTCTTGCATCGCATGCTTGCAGGAAAGAGAATCGCTCCATCTATGGCTGGCTTAATGCCTATACAGGTTTCCTGACACCAAAAATAGGGTTATGTAACTAGGAGTTCTGCTACAATCAAACCTGAATCATAAGCTATATAATACAAGAGAGGTTCTACAATATTGGATATTCCAATAGGTTTTTTTGAACTAGAAGTACAATCCTGTAAATCCTCTAATCCAATCTTGGCCATGGATTAACAGGATGAAACAGATAACCTTTATGCTATATTTGAAGCAGTAGCGTGTAAATGTACATATAGTTTTAGCTGTCCCTCTACATTTGGGCTGCTCATTTTAATTAATTTTGTCTTTCTGTGTATTTTTTATTTTTTTTAATGAAATGTTTTTCGTTAATTGTCCTCCCTGCAAAATATGTGACATTTGTTCAATGCAGTTACAGTTTGAAAGGTCTGAAATGGGGCTAGAAAGTTTTGCTGGATTATCCTAAATTAATTAAAACGCTTCAGCCGGAGATGGACTGAATTATGGGGATAACTTTCTTTCTCCCTTCCACTCCTCCCCCAACTAAATGTTTGGATTCGTTTTTTTTTTTAAAAAAAGAAAATCTATAGAAATAGAAACCTCCCTTTTACATACCTAACTCCATTGTCAGGTGTCTGTTCCAGAATCCAGAATCTTCTGTCTTCCTCCCTGCAGAATAGTAGGGTCCTTCTATGGTTGTCCACATCAGTGTTTGGGTGACATGGACATTTCCTTTTGGCTGACCAGTGATGAAGTTCTCACAGGAACCAGAACTCTGCTTCAGTGTTTGACATTAGAAAGATGAAACATCGATGGTACTCCGTTGTAAATATAACTCGCTTTTATTGGTGCGAGTAACATACATACACATGAACCTTAATCTCATCCCAGTCTTAGTCCGTAGGGTTCAATATTGAGTTGGCCCACTCTTTGCAGCTATAACAGTTTCAACTCTTCTGGGAAGGCAGTCCCCAAGGAATGGGAATGTTTGACCATTCTTCCAGAAGTGCATTTGTGAGGTCAGGTACTGATGTTGGATGAAAAGGCCTGCCTCGCAGTCTCTGCTCTAATTAAGCCCAAAGGTGTTCTGTCGGGTTGAGGTCAGGACTCTGTGCAGGCCAGTCAAGTTCCTCCACCCCAAACTCGCTCATCCATGTCTTTATGGACCTTGCTATATACACTGGTGCGCAGTCATGTTGAAACAGGAAAGGGCCATCCACAAACTGTTCCTACAAAGTTGGGAGCATGAAATTGTCCAAAATGTCTTGGTATGCTAACGACTTAAGAGTTCCCTTCATTGCAACTAAGGGGCCAAGCCCGACCCCTGAAAAACAACCCCACACCATAATTCCTCCTTCCCCAAACGTTACACTTGGCATAATGTAGTTAGGAAAGTACCGTTCTCCTGGCAACCGCTAAACCCAGACATGTTCATCGGATAGCCAGACAGAGAAGCATGATTTATCACTCCAGAGAACACGTCTCCACTGCTCTAGAGGCCAGTTCAGTGGCGACATGCTCTACACCACTGCATCTGGTGCTTTGCATTGTACTTGGTGATGTAAGGCTTGGATGAAGCTGCTCAACTATGGAAACCCAGACCATAAAGCTCTGTACTCACTGTTGTGCTAATCTGAAGGCCACACAAAGTTTGGAAGTGTTTAGCTATTAACAGTTGGCGACTTCTGCGCACTGTGCGCTTCAGCATGCGCTGACCCCGCTTTATCATTTTACCTGGCCTACCAATTCGTAGCTGAGTTGCTTTTGTTCCCAGTTGCTTCCACTTTTTTATAAAACCACTAACAGTTGACCATGGAAAATTTAATAGCAAGGAAATTTCATGGATAGACTTATTGCATAGGTGGTGACCTATCACAGTACCCCGCTTGAATTCACTGAGCTCCTGAGAGTGATCCATTCTTTCACAAATGTTTGTAGAAGCAGTCTGCATTCCTGGGTGCTTGGTATATACACCTCTGGCCATGGAGGTGATTGGAACACCTAAATCCAATGTAATTGAGGAGTGTCCCAATACATTTGGCAATATAGTGTATGTTGTGTAGTCACCATTTTGGGGACGCACAGGGTACTTTCCTCATGGTGACATAATTAGTCATTATGTCACCTTGAGGAAGGGACCTTTGCTGACTCTGAAACTTGGCTACACATGACGTGTGAATTTGCACCAATAATAGTAAATATTCTTTGCACTTGAGCGCTGGTGACGTTTCCTCTTTCTATACTGTGGTCTATGCTGCACCATCCCTTAGTTTCACTACAAACACCTTTCTACTCTCAAGGTTGAACACTATGAGGAGTGCAGTCCACACCTACATTTTTGCCTGCCTCATTGTGACGACATCACAAAGAGGTGAATGGTCAGCCAAGGAACTGCAGTGGTGGACCCCTTGGATGTCCTTCCCAAAGTGACACTAGTGAGGACATGGATGATGGAGTTAGGTGAATTTTTAAAAGACTTATGTGCTGAGTGGGGAGATCTTTGCATGGAGCTGAACTTAAAGTGAGTAGCTGGATTTCGACTATAAGTGTGGATTACAACATCCCATGATACAACTTTTGATACAGTAAGATTGGCCATCAGATATTTTAATACATAAACTAATATTGATAGATGGAAAGTATGCAGTGGGAAAACCTAATTAAGAGGCTAAGAAAGAAACTTGCCCAGAGTTTAGATTGTGGTGAAAATATTTCTTTGTAACTGTGTTTTGTTTTTTGCTTCTTGAAGGAAAACTGCATTGAAAAGGGAGTTCTGGGTCAGCACTGGAGTCCAGCAGACTAATGGGCAAGATGCCTTTCTTCGGCAACACTTTTAGCCCAAAGAAAACACCACCCAGAAAATCGGCATCACTTTCAAACTTGCACGCAGTATGTTGTTAAGTATAGCCTTTGTCCTGTCTGTGTGGTATTGACATTGGCCATTATTCTGCAGTCCTGTAGGACACACTAATATATAAATAAAGGCTAGTAACTCAGTTTACAGAGTTACTATATACATGAACTTTGGTAAATGTATTTCTTTGGAAGATCAAATAAAACTTTAAAATACCTAACAATTTAAACCCTGGCAAAATTTTTGATCAAAGTAGCATTAAAATGACATAACTTTTCAGTCTGCATGTAAATGTGAAGAGAGATATACAGTACATAAAGGCATGTAAAATAAAAAAGGGAATTAATATACTGAATGCTATTATATCATTAATAAACCATATACTGTTATTAAAATAAAATAGTTTTCACACTAGTGTTCCTTTGGGGCCCTATTCATACTGGAGGGTTTTGTAGCTTGACGTTCAAAGCTTCAAAACACTCAACAGGTTTCTGTGATATAAAAAAATTAGACAAAGATAAATAATTTCTGAACTTTTTCCACCTTTTTAATGTAACCTATAAACTGTACAACACAGTTGAATAACATACTGAAATCCTTAGGTGGAGGGAAGTAAAAATAATTTGATTCCAAAACTCAGTCTTTTTTGGTATGAGTCCATCAGCATGACACATCTTGGCAATATTTGCCCACTCTTTCTTGCAAAAACACTCCAAATCTGTCAGATTGCAAGGGCATCTCCTGTGCACAGTCCTCTTCAGATCACCCCACAGATTTTTGATCGGATTCAGGTCTGGGCTCTGGCTGGGCCATTCCAAAACTTTAATCTTCCTCTGGTGAAGCCATTCCTTTGTTGCTTTGGATGTATGCTTTGGGGCATTGTCATGGTGGTGAAAGATGAAGTTCCTCTTCATGTGCAGCTTTCTAGCAGAAACCTGACATTTGTACCAGTATTGACTGGTATTTGGAACTATTCAAAATTCCCTTTACCTTGACTAAGGCCCCAGGTCCAGCTGAAGAAAAACAGGCCCAAAGCATGATGCTGCCACCTCCATGCTTCACTGTGGGTATGGTGTTCTTTTGGTGATGTGCAGTTTTGTTTTTTGCACCAAACATATATCTTTTGGAATTATGTCCACAAAGTTCAACCTTGGTTTCATCAGACCATAACACACGCATTTTCCGACGACATGCTTTTTGGGAGGCATATGTGTTTATGCGAAATGCCGGGCTTGGATGTTTTTTTTTTTTTTTTTTCGTAAGACATAGCCCAGACATATGAAGAATACAGAAGATTGTTGTCACATGTACCACGCAGCCAGTACTTGCCAGATATTCCTGCAGCTCCTTTAATGTTGCTGTAGGCCTTTTGGCAGCCTCCTGGACCAGTTTTTTTTTCTTGTCTTTTCATCAATTTTGGAGGGACATACAGTTCCTGGTAAAGTCACTGTTGCGCCATATTTTCTCCACTGATGACTGTCTTCACTGTGTTCCATGGTTTATCTAATGCCTTGGAAATTCTTTTGTACCCTTCTCCTGACTGATATCTTTTAACAATGAGATCCATCTGATGCTGTGGAAGCTATCTGTGGACCAAGGCTTTTGCTGTGGGATGTGACTAAGAAAATGGCAGGAAAGACCTACTAGAACAGCTGAACTTTATTTTGGGTTAATCAGCGGCACTTTAAATGATGGCAGGTGTGTAATGACTCCTATTTACCATGATTTTGAATGTGATTGCTTAGTTCTGAACACAGCTACATCCCCAGTTAGAAGAGGGTGCAACCACATTATTTTAGTTTTTTATCTTTACCCCCCCCCCCAAAAGATTTCAGTTTGTTTTTGAGTTGTACAGTTTATAGGTCACATGACAGGTGGAAAAAGTTCTGAAATTATTTATCTTTGTCCTATTTTTTTTACATCACAGAAACCTGACATTTTTAACAGGGGTGTGTAGACTTTTTATATCCACTGTAAATCCATTGTTTTCAATAGCCCAATTTCACATCTGAGTATCCTACCACTTGCAGCTGGGTGCCTATTGCTCAGAAAAGTACATGATCTACTTTTCAGGCAGAATTGAAAATTTTTGGCCTCAAAGACTTCAAATAAAAACACTCAATTTAGGATATTTTTAAAATTACGGATCTCCTAATTCTTTCTATTGGCTAAAACAAAAGTGCCCGAAGCTTGAATATGCATGTTAAAAAAAAAAAAAAAAAAAGCGTGAGGTTCCCCTTCCGCAAATCCATATCAGACCCTTATTCAAGCATGCAGTTTGGCAGGCCAGGAAAAGGAGGGGGGGGGGGCACATGCCCACAACATAGTGGTTTACAAGAGGAGGGGCCCTCCCTGGCAAAGTACCTTTTCCCCTTGTTTATGAGGAGAAAAGCTTGTTTCCCAGAACCCTGGTCCGGTGGTTGTGGGAGTGCAGATGGGTGACTTATCTGAATCTGGAAGCCCCCTTTAACAAGGGGCCTTCCAGATCTTGGCCCCCCCCCCCCTTGCTATGTTAATAAATAAAAAAAAAAAAAAAAAAAAAGTGTTCCCTAGAAACAAGCACACCAAAATGTTTGACAAATCCTTTATTAAAAAAAGTCTCCCCATGTACATACATTGTTAATCACGATGAACGCCGTCCACCAACCTGCACAAGAAAAGAAAAAAACTCAACCCACCGACTAACAGTCCACTTCCCCTCGCCACTTAAGTGATGTAATGGGTGGAGCCACCCAGTGATGTCATATCCATGTTGTGGAGGAGAGGCCCTTATCCTCATCAACATGGAGATGAGGTTCTGCTATGAATAGATGACCCAAATATCACATGTGATATCCTTTTAGTAAAGTGAAGAAAATTAATTATATCAAATTTATATTTCGGCACTTATATTGATGGCAAGCTTGCAAAATATTTAGTTTTTATGATTAATCATAATTAATATTAAAATGTTTGAATGTCGCCTTAAGCCGATGATAGTGTTTATTTTTTCAGTAATAAACTGAGAAAGCTGAGCTAGCTAACCAGCTGAAAGCTGAGTATAATAAGGCATAGCTGGTTATAGGACTCTGGTGGAATATGACAAGGGTGTTAGAAGTGACTCAGAATAGAATAAGTATTATAATGTATTTTATTAGTATCTGTGTGTATTTAGCTTATGATTTATAAGTTGGTAATATTGTTACATATGTAGATTAGTGGTTATACATTATTGTGATGTTGTGAAGATACATTCTTAATTTATACTATCATTTAAATATGAGTAGCTGATGTTACATCACCAGCTTATTGTGGACATCACATATGTACCTGTCAATCAAAAGGCCGTATATGTAGCGTCCCCTCCCTTCTATGAAATTGCTCTGCTAAGCAGTATTGATTTTCATACAAGGTCCCAAGATCACAAGTTATGATGCTTACTTGCTTTATAAAATCACCTTAAGGGACAGTCTAGTCACACACTCATACATAATCACACACACGGCTGTCCAAACAGACACGCATAAGAACATTCTGAGAAGCTGGAACAGGTGCGTGCTGTAAGACAAGAAATAGTCATTAACGTCACTTCCTTCTTCTTGCTCGGACTCAGCTGCGTTGATCAAGACAAGACCACATGAAGGACAAACAGCACATGGCCGGACAGCCATGACAATAATGGTGACTTATCTTTAAACGTCTGCTTGATATTTCTGGTGGTTTTATCTACATGGAACTGTTCATGATACGCTTTACATTGTTATTTTATGCCATTGTGTGATAGAATAAAATCACACTTTATTTTTTATTTCAATGGCTCTTTTATTCATAATTGCCTCAAGACACTAAAGAAGTATTATATGTGTCAGAAAATCCAACATAAAGTGAGCCCACACAGAGATGAAACAAATCCTCCTACATACAGCGGGTAAAATGGGTATTGAACATTACACCATTTTTCTCAGTAAATATATTTTTAAAGGTGCTATTGACAAAATGTTCACCACATGTCTGTAACAATCCATGCAATCCATACATGCAAAGAAACCAAAACAAATAGTTTCAGAAAATAAGTTATGTGTAATAAAAGGGAATGATACAGGGAAAAAGTTTTGAACACGCTAACTGAAATGTATTTAATACTTCGTACAAAATCCTTTGTTGGTAATGACAGCTTCAAGATGCCTCCTATATGGAGAAACTAGTCGTATGCATTGCTTGGGTATGATTTTAGCCTATTCCTATTTAGCCTAATCTTGAAGGTTCCGTGGGCCTTTTCTATGAATTCTGATCTTATTTCCGTATATTTTCTATTGGTTTCAAGTCAAGTGATTGGCTGGGCTATTCTAGCAGCTTTATTTTCTTTTTTTGAAACCAGCTGAGAAACCCGCCCCACCATGATGTTCCCACTTTCAAATTTCACTGTTGGTATGGTGTTTTTGGGGTGATACAGCGAGGAACAGAAGTATTTGAACACCCTGCGATTTTGCAAGTTCTCCCACTTAGAAATCATGGAGGAGTCTGAAATTCACATTGTAGGTGCATTCCCACTCTTAGAGACAGAATTTGAAAAAAATTCAGGAAATCACATTGTATGATTTTTAAAGAATTAATTTGTCTTGCACTGCTGAACATAATTATTTGAACACCTAAGAAACAGCAAGAATTCTGGCTCTCAAAAGACCTGTTACGGTGCCTTTAAAAAGTCCACCTCTACTCCACTCATTAGTCTAACTTAGTAGCACCTGTCTGAGCTCTTTAGAGACACCTGTCCACCCCACAGTCAGTCAGATGCCAACTACTACCATGGGCAAGACCAAAGAGCTGTCAAAAGACACCAGAGACAAAATTGTGGACCTCCACAAGGCTGGAAAGGGCTACGGGGCAATTGCCAAGCAGCTTGGTGAAAAACAGATCAACTGTTGGAGCAATTGTTAGAAAATGGAAGAGGCTAAAGATGACTGTCAGTCTCCCTCGGACTGTGGCTCCATGCAAGATCTCACCTCGTGGGGTATCACTGATGATAAGAAAGGTGAGGAATCAGCCCAGAACTACA